GAAAGAGACTCTGTGACAAATTATCACTGGGCATTGCAAGTTATTTAGCAGAAATTACATATGGTATTTAGTAGTGGCTGTTTGCAGTCCTTTTTATTAAAATTACTAAAGTGCTCTTTACCTGTTTTGTTTCAGTCTTCACACCTACCTCATCTAAAGATTTATCTTCCAAGGCCATTAAATCTAACAGAGGATTTTTCACTCCTTGAGAGACCATTGTTTTTAACCCTATGGAAGAACAAATACCTCAAATGTCTTTTTGCAAAATGACACTAGACAAGGATATTCATTAAAACTCTGGACTAACAAAGCAATACAATTAAGAATTAAGCAAAATCTAACCCGGATTTGAATACACTGACATAATTCAACAATTATCTCATACAGTATATTGATTTACTATGTACCAAACTAAGACAAAGTATAGATAAAAATATATTTTTTTCTGGAAGAAAGCTTTTGCCATATTTTGAATTGTAGTTTAAATTACCAACATTTAGGATAATCAGACATTTAGGTTTGCAATGAAACAGTACCAAAAAGCACGAAGCTATCTTTTTCACCACAAGAACTCCTATAGCATTGCAGTAATTTATCTTTTGAAATATGTTTGGTGCTTACATACAACTTTTTATGCATGTCTATACAGGTAAGAGATAGCACAGGACTGAAAGTTACTATATCACCCACTAGAGTCAGTCCTCTGTTTTTTACTTGGAAATTATTGTAAGAATTAATTCAACTAACTCCAGATACTTTGTTCTCACACAGTGCTGATCATAATACAATACAAAGATATTCAATAGGGTATTATAGTTCATCTTTAGACAGAAGTTTCAGATAGTATTTAGAACAGAGAATTGGAAGTTCTTGCTAGTTCTCAAATAAGTTGTGTCTAATGAAAAAAATCTTTTTTGTTTGTAAAGCACTTTGGGATTGTCAGATGAAGAGTACTATTTGAATACAAATCATTCAAGTGTTAAAGGAGCTTCATACATATCATGTGTGTAATTTATCAGTTACACAGATGATGAAAGGGAAAAGACAGGATGGGGCTTTAGGCATTTTTTACCACTAATTACTACTTGAAGCAGGAAAGAGAATGGTGATGGTGAATAAAAATGGAACCTACTTAAATGGCCTGCTAAAGAGTCACTTTATCCACTCTATTGAGCAGTGATTCTCAACCAGGGTGCCTTGAGAATGAAAAAGTTGAAAACACTGCTCTAGAGTGGTTCTACACATCACAAAGCCCATATTTGTTCACAAGTCTTAGCTAACATGCCATGGAATGTAAGGTCATTTAAACAAAGCTATTCCCTACTAATACAGTTATGATGGTGCACTATGAAGACTGTTTCAGTAACTCTACCTGGACTGTATGAACTGTGAATAAGTAGTATCCAAATACTAGCATGTTGCATGTACCACGTCTGAGCAGCCAGAGGAAAAACAGAAAAAGCAAGCCCTCACCTTTCTCATCCATTTTGGCACATTCAGCAAAGAGATCTTTTGAACCTGTGTTCACCCTATCCCGATGGAAATAGTGGGATTGGAAAAATCGTGTCCAGAATTCCCTTTCAGTCAGGTTATGTGGAACATTTTCTGCATATTTCATTTTTACTGTAAAACAAACAGTATTAAAAGGTTTTTTTATTCAAAATTCTTTATCGTATATCAACAACAGGCGGAAGGTGGTTGAAGCTCATGTTGAATGGGCACAGGCAGCCTTTGTGAAAGGATAATGAAAATGCTGGCTTTAAGGTAGGGTTACCACACATCTGGGTTTTTCTGGATATGTCCTCTTTTTGAGCCCTCTGATCTCTGTCTGGGTGTTTAAAAAAAAAAAATCTGACCAAATGTCCAGGCTTTTGCTTTGCTCCACTGGTAGGATAAGGGGGAGGGTGATCGGAGGCAGCAGGGAGCACACATGTACCAGCCCGCAGCTGTGGAAGCTCTGATCCCCCTCCCTCTGCTCCCACCAGCAGAGCAAAGCAAAATCCCGCACATTTGGTAAGGGCAGAGGGGTGGGGGCTGGGACAGGGCAGGGTTGGGGTTGCCTGTCCCTCCAGTGGAGGAAAGGGGTGGGGAACCTTTGAGGGCAGCAAGGAACTCTGTGGCCGGATGGTAGCACAGGGGCCAGTGCTCACATGGGCCGAGTGGCCAGGAGATGTTCCGGGGGTGGGGGAAGGGGGGCTGCGGCCAGGCTGCCAGGCAGGGTGCAGCAGCCCTATCCCAGGGTGCAGGGGTGGAACAAGCCTCCCCTTCTTCCTTCCAGCCCATGCTGGGGCCAGGCACACTCCGTTGCCACCTGCATGTATCAGAGCTACCACACTCTGGCCCAGTCTGGGTGGGGATAGCTGGGCCTCCTGGCAGGGTTGGAGGGGGCAGGGGGCTGTGAGTTGGAAGTGAGGGGTATCAGCAGGGATGGGGTGGGGTGGGCGTTGCGGGTCAGGAGTGAAGGGCACCATCATGACCCAGGGCGGCAGGGTACTGCAGTTTGGGAGGGGCAGCAGCAGGGCTGTGGCTCAGCAGTGAGGGGCAACAGCAGGGGCAGGGCACCGGCATGTCACCGCCCCTCCACCATCATATTCCTTCCTCCCCACCCCTCCCCTCCCCCACGACAGGTGTCCTCTTTTTTAGACATGGAAATATGGTAACCTTCTTTAAAGGGGATAGGAACAAAGAACTAAATCCTGGAGAGAGAAACGGTTTTTTGCAGTCTGCTTGCAGTGCACAGAGCCAATTTCGTGGCAGCTCTGCTCCTCGGTGCTGATTGGTGGAGAAGCCCAGGGGGAGGAGGGTCGCAGGAGCAGATGCCATCTTGAAAGCTGGCTGCCTTTTGTGTGACCTTACACCTCAGCACTGATTGGCCAAGATGCCCAGGGAGAAGGAAGGGAAGGGGTGGAGGGTAAAGGATGGATGAGGAGCATCCAACGTTTTGATTACTGGCTGCCCTTTGTGCTACCCCGCCCCTTGGTACCGACTGATGGAGAGGTGCCGGCAGGGGGAGGAGGAATGAGGGAGCAGCCACCACCTTGTCTGCTGCCCTTCATGCCATCCTGCCAGCCAGCGCCTTCCCCTCTCAGTAGAGGACCATTGGCTCTCACTGGGCAGCCAGCTCTTTTTCTTTTGTTGTCACTGGTGTTGATTTTATGGACAATTCTGGATTTCATGGTTTCCGTAAAATTAAGTAGGACCTACTTATAAAGGTATTAATTTGGCAAACAGTACTGTTGTGCCTATGCAAGAAGTTTGCAATTCTGGGAATCTAGCTATTTAAAAGGCAGCCACCTATACAGTCTCCAAGGGTGTAAACCAGGGGCGGGCAATTATTTCAGGCAGAGGGCCACTTACCGAGTTTTGGTAAGCCATTGAGGGCTGCATGACAGGCAGCCAGGGGCACATAACTATTCATTTTCTAAATTTTTTAGGGGTCTCACGGGCCAGATAGGATGGCCTGGCAGGTCGCATTTTGCCCACCCCTGGTGTAAACATGTCACCTCTTGTCACCATAAAAATTTATATTGCACCATAAAGGTTTATATGGAGGGACAAAGCAAAGCATCCATAACTCTTTACTGTATGTACCGCATATGCCCAAATTTGTGATCAAAACAAAAAGATAGTAACAATCTGTGCTGCTTTTTTGTGGCAGACATTTGTTTGCTTTATGGCACTCTCTAACTGTCCCAGGCAGGTGTTCTTTGGTCCCGTGTGTCCTGGGAATTCATGTGCAGGATCAGGCCCATCATGCTTCAAGGATCTCCAGGGTATCTTCCTAGAAGCAGGGAAATTTAGGGCTCCCCGCTTCCAAAGACACACCCAGAGATTGGCAGGAGTTTTCACCCAGGAACAAAACCAAACCAAACCAATGTCAGCATCAAGGTCCAGTGGCGCATGTCTAAGTCATAAATATAACAACTCTCTCGTAAAACTGGTAAAAGTTATTAAAACAGATCCCTTAAAAGGAAAACCCCTCTGACTTTAACATTTAGTCCATCAAACTGAACAATTCAAAACAAGTTCTCTTTTCTAGACATAAGATATTACCAAAAGCTAAAAAACACCCCTCCACTGAATTAAGGGTGTGATAATATAAATAGCCTAGAAGGGAGTGGGAAGGGAAAGAAGGCAGGCTATATGGTTTACCAACAAAAAGTATAGTATTGGACTTGAGAGATCCAATAAGACAACAAATAGTATGCTGTATAACAAAAATTAAAATTCATTATTTTGCTTACCTGCGGGATATGTTCTAAATATGGATTCAATGATATCGGAGGTTAAGTTATACCTCAGACCATTGCAACCATCCGTTTGAGGCCGAACATCAGCCTAGAGAATAAAAGAGAAGAGGATGTTTAAACTATGCAGGAGGGAAACCTATTAGTTCTAAATTATGGCAGTGAATGGAGAAGAAAGAAGCCAGATCTCTGGCAGAGGAAACTTGTTGCAGAGAGAGAGTAATACTCTCCTCTCACATCCCAATATATTTGGCAGTGTGTAAATGTGTGAGAGTAAAATCATTATTTCAACTGTTTTCACAGCTTAGAACCAATACTTGAGTTGGTATTTTAAGAATTATATTAATGAAAATCAATTAAATAAACTTTACTTAAGGTGAAATGAAAAGCAAAATTGAAGCAATTAGAGGACTATGCTGGATTTGAGATGCTCATATTTTAATATTCTAAAGCGGTTAGAAGGTATTTGTCCATAGTAAGACTAAACTGCATGTATCCCTTTAATTGCCTACTCTTCTGTATTTCTGCCTCATGCAAAGTAACAATACACTAGTGAATTTAATAAGTTAAGCATTCCACAGAGATCCGAGGCTATTGTACACAAGATTTAAGAAAAGGAGCCATTCATTATAACCAAACATTTTAAGAATTTCAAATATGAAGACATGCCTTACTACAATTGCAAGCTACCTCCCATAGCCACGCTTAGTGGCATCTATCAATCTCTATACGAGGTTCCGATGTAAAATCACAGTATCTTTTTCAGTCATTAGCAGGGGGAGCTACAAGGTAACTTTCTATGCCTTTTCTCTTTACCATACAAATGAATCCCAGTTTCCACACTAGGATTATTTCCATAAGTGTAGTGAAGTTGTGCTTGCTTTTATGGATGTATTTTTACTTGAACCAGGAAAGGAGAATTTAAAGTTTTCTTGGAGAGAGAGTGCGCATCTTCTGATGGGTGGTTTTTAACTTCTAGTTGCTGGATTTTTGGTTGTAGCTGTGTTGGTCTAAGGACACAGGCAAAGTTCTTTGGGTAGATGTAATATCTTTTATTAGACCAGATGAATAGTTGGAAAAAAAGTTCTTTGCAAGCTTTCAGGCACAAATCACCTTTCTTCAGGCATAGGAGTCTCTGCTGTTCTGAACTCCAAGGAATTTCTAGTTGTCAATTTTTCATTAAATTGAGTAATAGTGTAATTTATACAATTATACATTACTAACATTTTGAAACTACTTATATAAAAGCTCTGGCAGAAAAAACCCATTAAATTAATTTGATAACTAAGATTCGTATACATTTGAACATCACGTGATCACTAGGGAAGATATACAGAGAGCTAATAGGGGGATGGCAGCTCTATAAAGGACAAAGACATCTTGACTTGTGCAATTACTGTTTCCTCCTACTTACAGTTAGTCATTGTAGCTTGGCAGGGAGTTTCTAACTGAAGAATCATATATTTAGTAATTTTGTTGCAGAGGTAATAACATGCTTCTGTGGGGCAGACAACAAGATGATAGCCTCTGATGCATTTGTATCAGAAAATCAGTACCAATAAAAAATTTAGAAATTTATTGTGGCCTGGCTTGTGCATGTAAAAAGCTGCAAAAACTTTAGTTATATAGATGACTATTGGAACAGATTCCCTTCCAATTTAAGACAGGAATAGAAAACATCTTTGAAGCAAGAGATAATAGCTATAAATCTCTTGCTAATAAACTGACCCCTGCTGGACCAAACCAGGAGCTTGCCTTTCTGTTCTATGGAAGACAGATCTACTGTGAAGGAGGAAAATATTAATGTGTTTTGCCTGTTGCCTTAAAGGGTTTCAGTTCTCAATTGATATTCGACATTTTCCTTAGGGAGAATTTCTGAATATTCCTTGATGGGGTGTCTATTATTAGCGATAAACTATCCAAATGCAGGAAAAACAAACTTAACAGAGAGGGATACCAGAGGATTAACAGAAATAAATAAAACAAAATGTAAGTGGGTGGGCAGTTTAGCCTTGCCCAAAAGCCACAAAAAATGTATTTTCCAAATGTTTTGCTTTATAGCCTAATATTTTGCTATTAGAAAGGTTCAACATACCAGAAATGCTGCAGAGATGCCCACATCCTGCTTATTATGTGCCGCAGAACTATCCACTGCATTCATGCTTAAACGGTTGGCCCAGAATTCCTCAGCACTGATTACCTGGCTCACAACAAGGTCTTTATAAAGCTGAAACAAAACAGGATCTTCTTGCAGCATTCTGGTAAAAGAATAAATAGAACTGAATCACTCCAAAATACTTCACCAGGATTGCCATATCAATCTAGCATGGGTTCAGCAAGGAAAGAGATTGCAAGAGTATAAGAAACACAGAACACTTTGACAGCAAAGTTACAGCTAGACTTACATGCGACACTGGTCAATCTCAATAGCAGTATGTGTGTCAAAGGGAACAGAGGAGAAAGAACGAAGTTGCTGGCCAAGAGATAACTTTAACAAAGGGTGGGGGGAAGAAATGTCTAGACAGGCCTGAATACAATGTACAGGCCAAAAAAGAAAAAAGTGTGCACGGTATACTTGTGTATACTGTATACACGGTATACTTTCGTATATGTATACCATGCACACAGTATAGATGTGTGCACGGTATACTTTCCAGATGAATTTTTTGGTCAGCAATGTCCGCTGGGCTCAAGGGCATGAAGGGCAGAGCAGACTCAACTACCATATCATCCAGATGTTACAGGCACCCACACAGTAGCAGAGAGGGATGAAAGGCTGTGACATTTACATGGACAGCATGTCCTGAGGAACTCCATTACTGGAAAGAAACTGAGCACTTACCCATCTGTGTGTGTCAGTGCCTTGATGCAAGAAGTGGATACTTGGAGTTCAGTAAATAACTTGCATAGGTGCACTTCTACCAAAAGCAGCATTGGACCTAAATACTTCTACTACAGGAGTGGTTTAGTATAAATATGGGCTGAACTGCCAGTAACCCCCTTGCAAGTGTCTGTATCTGGGTGTTCCTTACAAGGAACCTGCAGAATTGCTGGAGTCCTGATATGAATTTGCAGGGGGGGGGGGGAAAGGAAGAGAGGTCCATCTGTTAGCTATTGTACAGCAAATCTTAAATGGAGCAACATACTTATTTTCTCAGTAAATGCTGAATCACTTCACAGAAAGCCTGAGGGATTCAGCCCTTTACAAATATGAGAAAGACTCTGTAAGTAGGAAGCATCTTCTCCCGCTTGTTAGCATGTGACTTGAGGAATGCTAATAAATGACTGACTTGGTTTAAATGGAAAGCTGGAATCCTTGGATGCAGTCTAAGTAATAACTTACTTCTAAGGAATATGGCATAAAAAGGTCATGCCATGAGGATGCCTATCCCCCAATTTTTAATCGGATGTAACTGCTACTAGAAAAGATGTTTTCATAGTTAAGGGCAACAGAAAGCATGTTGCTATGATTTCAAGTTGCCTATTACACCTACCAGAACCACATTAAGGCCCTATGGAAGGGAAGGCTCTTGCAGCTGTTAAAGAAAACCTCAAATATAGTCCCCTAAAGAATTTCAACAGTGGGATGGGGAGGCTGTGAAGGGCAGCTGATAAGCAGAAGTTCCTTGTAAAAACATTTAAGTGTGTACTCCTTCAGATGGTATAGTTGTTTCTAATTTTTAGGAATGTTTTGATGTTTAACACTGTGTGCATTCAAATCCTGTTAGCCACCATCTTGAATACAAGTCCATTTACAATAATGGACCAACTATATTCAATTTAGGAAGAAGATTATTTTAGGTAGGAAAGCATTTTAGTAGGTCTTTGTTAAGAGTGCTGGGAAAGAAGGAGATCCCACTGCATCATTTATCATGCTCTGATTATTTGTTAAAACAAAGCGACTTCTAAAACTAATCTGAAATGCAATGATCCTTACAAGCTGCCCATTAATTGCGTGCGTGCATACACACACACACACACACACACAGAGCAAGAGTCAAGCAATCATGCCACAACAGGCATGGTGGAATTTTTTTGCTGCTGAAACAAATACTTCACTGGTAGTGTTACTGTAATACAATCCAAGTCCTGTTCAGAGAAAAAGCTACAGTGTAATTATGAATCAGTGAAGATTCCCACTCTCCCTTTACCTGTTCTTTTCTTCAAGTTCCTTATTAGCTTTCCTCTTGAATTTGGGCAACAGCTGCTGAAGAAGGTCCTTCACTGCATCTCGTTCCTTCACTGCTGTGCTTTCATTGGAGAAGTGGAAGTTGGTTGTGTCCCCTGCATGCAATACCAGCTGAAGCTGAATTTTAGCTTTTCCTTCAGGACTAATTTTCTGGCCTAGATTACATGGGAAACAAATTAGTGAGAGACTGTATTACAGAAACTCTTTCCCTAGAGCAATTAGATAGATATAGTTATCTACACCATGTTATTAAATCCTGGTATGCCACAGATAGGTTGTACTGCAGCATGCGTCTTCCAGCCACAAAAGTGGCACAAATTAATTTGAAAAAGCTAAATCTTGCTTTAAAAAAAATCTAGGACATCCTGGCTTGCTGCTGAGTATTCCTCAGTCTGAAAACCACTTTTGCATGCCTCAGGTTCTACGTTAGAAGACTAACCAGACTTAGAGCAGCCCTCAGGTACCCTCAACTTCTAGGACAGAGAAGTGTTAGAGTCCTACATCTTTTCCCAAAGCCCCAGGAGAAGAAACATATTGGACCTGCTATGGTATTTCTCTATCGCTCAAGGATCCCTCTATACTGGGGCATTGCCCTGCTACCCTGGCATTAGCAAAGTAGTGCAAAGGCACCCTAATGTGTCTCAGGATCTAAATCCCAATCTATAACTGAGGAATAGGAATCAAAAAGGCACTATTAAGATGCTGTGCTCTCTTATTGCACCCTAACAGAACGCGGGGTCATTCAATCCCATCAAACAATAAAAAGGTATCTTTCAACTCAAGAGAATGCAACTGTTTACTTGGTTTCTTCAGGGACTCTCCAGTCTTCTACATAACACAAGCATTATGATAAATTAAACATCTAGAGAAGATAACAGCTTTACAAAACTTGTAAGGCTAAAATGAACTTGAATCTAAATCACTATTACACTGGTAACTGTCAAAGGTAGCTGTATTTTGGAGTTCTGACTCAACATGATTACTAGCCACACAAATCTTGTGTGTGTTCCAACATTCCTAGTTAAAGAACTAGCAAATGTGTTGTCTAAATTCAGAAGCAGACATCAAGTCTGCAAGGATTTATTTTATTTCTTGCATTACTGAGCATGGCCAAACAGCTCTAAAGTGAGCCTGGCACAGTGCATTTAAGAACTACATAAACTCCAGCAATACCTTGGCTTTAACCTGCACCACCCTACTCGGGTGCAACAGTTTATTAAACAGAGATTATCAATGACATTCAGGAGGACCACAATGAAATGACTGAACTTTAAAAAAAAAATTGTGGTCCTAGAGTTAATTAGAGTGTTAATCAGATTTTCTACAGTGAGAGGCTAGTACAATGAACAGGGACATTTCACACCAACAAGTTGTGCTTTGGTTAGTTTATATCCATCCATGATGTGCACTTTAAAGAAATTCTTTGGCAGCTTTGGATTCACTTCTTACTTGACAGATGATGATGGGCAAAATAGTTGCCTACTAGCATCTATTAAATCCTCTATCTTCCACATGCAGTGACGCAGCTGATTTTTCTACTAGATTGCAATACAGATTTCTGTACCCAACTTATTACAGAAACTACTGCCAAACTGGAAAAGGATTTTTTTTAGAAATTTGAGGGAGGTCTGCATTAAAATGCTGCCTGCAAACCTTCTAAATTAGAGGACCCTCTGTGACAATCCAAAGAAACTGGAATCCACGTGCTCATGGATACTAGAGAAGGTAGGCTCATGAAAGGTCCAAAGAGTCAAAGACACTTGCAAGTTACCCAGCTATTCCACAGGAGATAAAGTTTGATTCTTATTTAATTACCAATACCATGCACACACTTATTACAGATAAAAAAGAAAAAGCTTTCACTTACATTTTATGTCTGCGTACATATGGCTGACTGTGAATCGGTCTTTGCCTTCAGGTGCCCAGGCTATCCGTTCAGCCATAAGGTAGAGAGCCCCATCTTGCTTCTTTTGACGTACCTTCTTCACTATCAGTAACACTTCTTCAGAAGAGGTTGCCATGATGGCTATAAGGTGCTAATTAAAGCATAGGGTACAACTGGCCACTTAATTCAGTATTCATTCATATCACTTCTATGACACTATTTTTCCAGTATTTCAACTTGTTTCCAGAGATCAAAACTTGAATTTATGCATTAATACATTATCCTATATAGACATTTACCAGTGCTCAAGCCAGGAACAAACATACATCAAACTCTTCTGCAGAGATGCAATGTGTTTTTAAATAGAATATAGCCATCTACATAAACAGCCATTTTCCAATTATATTTCTAATGTTTGAGTTCCAGCTACATGTACAGTCCATATGTCTATCTCTACATATAACTCATGTTTTCTATTTACCTTTTTTGTGTTTCTCTATTTGACAAACCAGTTCGGAAAGAAGCCAATACCTGCAAAAGAAGTTATGTTCCAAATCTCCTAGGGCATTTAACGAAGTTTTTTTTCCCCCTAAAGATCTCCTTCCTTTTTCTAAGAGAGAGGAGGAAAAGGTACCAGGAGACTTTCAGGCTCTTAGCTCTATGTCCTCTCAATTAACAATAAAGTGAACCAGTTACTTTTGTCTTCCACCAGTTAGAACTATGCAGGGCTTCAACAGGACTTCTGGCATAACTAACCGGCCTACTTTTACCCCCAAAATATTCTGGGTCTCATCTTGCTCCCATAGAAAAGAATGGGGATTTCATCAGTGACTTCAACAAGCGCATTTGTTACTATGAGTAGGGTAGAGAGACAACAAGCATCCCTTTCTCCTTCAGTTTCCAACAGCATTCTTAAGTTTATCAAGAGAATCACTGAGTACCAAGTGAACTAGCTTCATCACTATACCTTACATACCTATCAGAATCAGATGAGTCTTCCTCAGTACTATATCTGGTGCTTTTCTATATTCTGTTTGTTCTACTCCTGTAGTTGCATCTGTGCCATGTACCTGGCTGTCTGTTGTGCTCACTTTGCTGCCAACACGCTGAATACACATAACTGCATTTTCTTACATTTGAAGCATGGGGTATGCCTCAGAACTTCAAAAGAACATTTGTACTCTACCTAATGCTAATATGCAACAAGATCAGGAACCAAAAAGCAAGCCCACTCATTTATGGGCATGCTTTTACCAGGATCTTTAAACGAACTGGATATTTTTCACATTCAGTCCTGACCTTCAATATTGATCATTACAAAAGAACAGCACTCTGCTGCTCAGTGAAGATCTTGGAAGCTGAACTATCAGACAAGATGCGTTAGATAAAACATTTAAGTGGAAAGACCTGTAAGAATAAGATGCATTTGCACTCAAGCCTTGAAACAATACCACTTAGATCAACAGGAGTTTTGTTATTTACTTCAGTAGAAGAGAATTGGATCCATGAGCATTTTCTTTACATGTCTTGAAAGAGACAGTGTTACTTACTGGTAGTATATTTGGCAGCTAGGGTACAACGTTTCTGAGTTCTGGTAATACTTCAGTTTGTAACAGACTAAAATCACAGCTTGCAGGTTAACCCCCATCAAAATCCCATACCACTTTCTTGTCTCCTAATACCATTATTCTGTAACTGACTGTGAACAATTGAGATAACCCACTACCTTCAGACTAGCCATTATTTTTTCTTGGTATTATTTAGACTCGAGAACAACTGCTTGAAAATTGAAACCTTCCTGGCTGAAACCTCAGGAATTTTTACCCCTGCTAGTTTCCAATTTGTGCCTTTCAAAGTCTTCTGTTTGATTTTGTTTGTGCATTTTGATGTTTCGTTGAATTAAAATTCTTTGTACTCTAATGAATTTGAGGTATAGGAGTCATCACTAAGGACCATAGAATTAAAACTGCACTGAGCTGAATTAACTGAATAATTTTTTTTTTAATATTTAGATTCCTCCTGTGGTGCACTATTAAGCTTTTCTGCTATCCTGTTTCTTCTGCACACAACTGGTTTTTCAAATGAGAAAAAAAAAAACAGTTGCTGGTGACCTCTTTTAAAGATGTAATGTTTCTGGTATACCATTCTGCAGTGTGCAGCTTCTGAATGCGCAGTATCCCACAAGCGGCTCTTTCCATTTTCTGGAAAATTAACTGCACTAGGTCAGTGCTTATTTTTTGCCTTTCATGTCACTGTAAAGAACTGCAGTTTAAAGATAACATAACTCTGCCTGAAGATTGTTCACAAGCAGCAAACATTATCCAAAATGGAAACCTTCCCCTCCTGTCCAACCCCCTTTTTACACTGAACCAAGAAAAATATCAATATATCCAACTACTTCTCCCTTAGCTACTAGGGAGGATGATGGTGTACTAGGCTTTTTTCTGAGTTTAGTCTTGAGACTGTTCCAGTGGGAGGGCTCTGTATTTTCTATCAGCCTCCAGCTAGAAAGAACGTGTTACATTTAACAGGCAGACAAGGTTCTTTGGGTAAATCTGGTATCTTTTATTAAATCAACTCAAATAGTTGGAAAAATTCTTCTTGGCATTTTTTCAAACTATTTGAGTTTGTGTAAATCTGATATCTTTGTTAGACCAAGAACCTTGTCTACCTATGTCCTTAGACCAACACAGCTATGACCTATACCTCTGTTTATATTTAAGAGAAAAGCGTCTGCTTTTACTCCTGCTTTAAGCATTTCCTATTTACTGTGAAGAGGAAAAAAGGTCCCAAACATCATTTTGGGGATATGCCTCATCTTGAAGAACTCCTTTATTAGACTGCTGCTCTGCAGTTTTCTTAGGCAGCAGCATTGTGAAAACAATGCAATTCTTCACAGCATCATTGCTGCTCACAGGGGTCTGAACTGCAGTAGTTAAGCTGACAAAATTTTAATTTACTGGTGTCTGGCAATGATGTGAGGTAGCAACAGAGGCACTAGAGTAGTCTGGTCACAGACTCCGGGGGGGGGGGGGGAATAAAGTACTTTTTCATTTTATTCCTGTTTTATGAATTAAGGATTACTTTAACAACCAGGAAGGCTAGAAACTAGTTATGCTCTTCAGTTACATAGCGGATGATACATTAAAGCGGGGGCTGGCAATGTTTTGGGGCAGAATGCCAAAAACACCCACAATCTCACTTGTAGGATGTTGGTCTGCCAGGGCTGGACAGCAGGGGAGCCGTGTGGAGCCCGATCCTTGTTGTGGCAGTGCAGCCCCAGCCCTTCCATCTGTTTTGAGGTGTGTGCGCCAAGCATAACACCTTCGCGTGCCACGCTCTGGCACCCATGCCAGGGGTTGTCTAACCCTGCATTAGGGTATGCTAGTTAGCCAAGAAAGCTTCCATCTACTGTTGGATAGGGCCTGGAAAATTCCCTTGACAAAGTCATATGGAAATACAGCCATTTTTAACAAGGACAGAAAAAGGACAGTATTTTCTGCTTTTGCAGTTGACATGCGTCTCAGAGTAACTTATTTCTGTAATGTGAAGCTTAGATAAACTTTCATTTTCTGACTTTGAAGTGATAGAACAGGAGATTATATTTCCAAAATGCACTTTGATAAAGAAGCAGTTCTAACCTGTGGTGTATTGCGCTTTAGAGTAGAACACCACATCTCTCCTGGGCACGATCCCTACAGCTATATGCAACTGCTGATATCGCTCACCCTGCTCATGCAGGAGTTCTAGGCTAACAACAACAACAAGACACAAACAAACAGAACAAAAAGAAGCTGAACTACAAGGGTTGTCTTCTGGCCCATTTATGAATATTCTTCTTCTTGCAGTTTAATAGCAAGGAAGTGCAGTATCTGGAAAGGCCAGGATTGGAAAAGAGAAGTGATGAGGGATTTTCTACCTGCCTCCACTGCAGGAGTGCTCCCTTTTTGGAAGATGATGTCAGGCAATGGAGGGCAGCCAGCACCTACTTTTAAGCTACCTGCCTGGCTTCTATAGTTTCTTCCCATATCTTCTCCACCCAGCATTCCTCTTCCCTGCTTCTGCTGCAGTACACAAGTAAAATAGTGGTACCAGAAGATCCAACCCCATTCCCTTACCCCAAAGATCACTACAATAAACAAAAATTGGTGGAGAAAAGAAGCCATCCTTTCACCTCCTTTTAGCTGACCTGATTTGGCTGGGAAGACACGTATTTTGTATCTCCCCCTTAAGCCCTTGTGACAGGCACACCACACCATCCATCCCAGCATATAAATTACTCAGATACAAGCAAGGCAACAAGCTGAAGAACTGGATAACAATCTTGTAGGCCTCCCTATGCTAAAAGTCTGGACTCCTGCCATTATTAGTGGCATCTACATGCAAATGTCAACTTTTGCCTGAAATCAGACAAAAAGGAAAACATGGCTTGCTGTTGCAAGTGGGAGGAAATTAAAATTCTTTGAGGAACCTTCTTCCAGATGTCTGGAAAAAGAGAACTATCACATTTTCTTTGCTCATGAACTACTTTGCCAACCTAAAGACTGTAATTTCCACACAACTACCCAGTGCCAAAACCTTTGAATCCTGAAGTTTCATTTCAGCTACAGTTTCCAAGACACAAGTGAAAGGACTAGTCTTTTGCCCTCTTTTGGCTAGGTTTCAGCTTCTTGTATTCTAGGGCAAAGTGGCAATGCTGCTAGTAAGGCTGACTATCCATTGCATTTCCCTCCCTCCCTTTCCTTCACCTTATGTCACAATCTAATACTGCCCTTTTTCCAAATCCGAATCGCACAGCTGCGTATCGCAGTGTAGTTCCCTATCCCAATCCCCCCAGTCTTTTGCCCTCTTTTGGCTAGGTTTCAGCTTCTTGTATTCTAGGGCAAAGTGGCAATGCTGCTAGTAAGGCTGACTATCCATTGCATTTCCCTCCCTCCCTTTCCTTCACCTTATGTCACAATCTAATACTGCCCTTTTTCCAAATCCGAATCGCACAGCTGCGTATCGCAGTGTAGTTCTCTATCCCAATCCCCCACCCTGGTGCTCCCACCTGTGCTGCCTGCCACACAGCGAGGGAGGTGAACTCTTAGCTGTAATAACAGACCATGTCTGTCAAAAGCAGCATAAACACTGAAGTGGGGCTCAAAGCCCGACCTGCAGAGCTGACTCATCTGGCCCATGGGGCTCTTCAGGGGTCCAGAAACGTGGCAGCACCAATCACCACCTGAGTGTGGCTCTGGGAATGTCTCCAGCAGCAAACGCCACTGCTACTCCCCCACTGCTCAATTCTTGCACCCGGGGGCTGCATCCAGCCTGGGCCAGCATGCGGAGCAGCCGGACCTGGCACTTGGGGCTGGTTTGCAGGCCCAACCTGGCAGCAGGGTCCCTGAACTTGCCAGATCCAGCCCATAAGTTGGCTTTGCCCCACTCCCGCAGCTCTGGCACCACTGCCATCAGGGGAACCCATCTGCTTCCCCAGGAGCAGGAAGGGAGAAAACTCTGCAGAGGCTCCTGGAGTGGCAGCCACAGCCTCAGCCCGCCCCTACCCGACCAGCCAGGCGCTCCCTGTTGGGCGGCAGATGCCTTCCTGGAAGCAGCTCCTACCTCCAGCCCTACGGGTTGGTAAACGGGCTGAGAACCGTCCACCCCCCATGAGTACCCCTCTATCGCCCAGCCCCCCGGGCTCAGGTGCCTTGCAGGGGAGGAGGGGGTTCGTGCCTCCCGGCTGCTAAATCCGCCCCGCGCTCCCCGGGCTCCTACCGTGCGGACGGCTGCGTCACGGGGCGCTGCTGCGGCGGGGCGGGGCGGGCGCTACAGGCGGGCGGTGCCGGCGCCG